ACTCGGGAGGCTGAGGCAGGAGGATCGCTTGAGCCCAGGAGTCTGAGGTTGCTGTGAGCTAGGCTGACGCCACAGCACTCACTCTAGCCCGGGCAAAAGAGTGAGACTCTGTCTCAAAAAAAAAAGAAAATTAAGTAAATTTGTGTACTACCTTTTACCTTCCTAGTTCTATTAAAGTTTCTTAAAGTTTTGTTAAGAATGAAACACATCATTTCACAAGAAATTGACTTAAATAGACTAATAATATACTAATAAATACACCCAAACTAGATATTTCACTGTTACAAAATGAAATTTTGCTCAAAAAAAAAAAGTCCATAAAGAGTTTTTTGGTTTTTTTTTTTTTTTAAGATAAAGCTTCTGACAGGTGTATTTGTAGTTGACAGCCCCCAAAACTCCAATAAAATTACAGAAGTATTTAAAAAAGCATAAACACGAGGGCAAAGAGGCAAAGAAAAGACAGCAGTTGGTGGGGTTGCCAACCCACTGTGCAAGTCAGGAAACAGACGTCAGATCGGAACGGTCTGATGGGACATAAGACAATGAAATCTGAGTGTCTGCAGGAGGAGACACGGACAAGAACCAGGACAACGTGCTCTGCAGCATCCCGGCCAGGCCCAGGAACCAGGTACAGCAAAGGGCAGGTGTGAGGCAGAGGTGGAAACAGGAGCAGCGTTTGAAAGAAGCTGTCGGAGCCTCCCAGATCCTCGCCCCAGCCCACGCAGTCGGGAAACCACCTCTTCTCTATCTCTGCAGGAGATGGTTTAATTCTCTGGAGACTGAACCAGGAAGGCTCAGGAGCTGGAGACACAAGGCACCACGGAGGGCAGGGTATGGTGAAAACAGAGGGATCAAGTGAAAGCCCCCAGCTAAGACACCCAGCTGTGCCCCAGCCACGCTTCCAGGGCCTTGGCATCCCAGCCTGTAGCCCTCGCACACACTGTTAAGGCCAGGCGTCTCCGGAGAAGCCCTCCAGTGGGGGCCCCGTTAAAAAGACGGCTCGCTGCCCAACATCCCCGAGTGAAGGGAGCCACCTGGCCTGCATGAGCACACAGAGCCACACGCACACAGTGTTCGATCCGCTCTTAAGTGTCCAAAGGACAATCAAGGGTCACCAGACTTTTGGGAAAAGACATTAAATAAAACAAAGTCCAAAACAAATTAAAAAAAAGAAATTGGAGGAAATAAAGACAATAGAGGAGAAAAAGATCTACATTTTTAAAAGCCGTAATTAATATCCTTAGAGAGATAAGATATCGTGTACATAAAAAAAGAACAGGACACTATTTTTAACAAATTAGAGAGTAAGAACTGAAATAGTCAAGAGTCGCTAAAAGCTAAAGTTGAGGGAATCTCCAGAAGTGGAGCACGGGGACAGGGATGGACGCCAGGAAAGAAAGCGGGGCAGCAGCGTGCCAGCTCCCACAGCCGGCGTCTGCCAGGACTACCTAAGAACGGGAGAACAGAGAACACGGGAGGGAGCTGCTTAAAAAACCAATTAACTAGCCCCCCTTCCCGACGCATAATCAAAAAACTTCTCAAAATTAAGACAAATAATTCTCCAGACCAAGTGCACAGGAAAAAATGGATAAAAAGAGACCCACACTACTGTCAAGTTTTCGAACCTGAAGCTTAGAGAAAAGTTCCTAAATTTTTCCCAGAGACAAAAATAAAACCAAGGTGCATAGAAAGGACTGAATCAGTGTGGCATCCACATCCTTGTTCCCAGCACACGGCAGGCTTCAACTATTTGCTGAATGAATGAATGACTGGAGGCTCCCCAGCCACACTGGAAACCAAACAATAATGGAGCAAAGCTTTCAAAGCTGTGAGTCAATAAAGTGTGAGGACGCCATAAGGCATTTGCAAACCTAATGCTTCCAAAATTCTGCCTCCCACTCGCTTCTTCTCAGAGAGCGTCTAGAGGATGTGATCTAGGAAAATAAATACAGAAAGAGTAAGTAAGCCATGGGGTCTAGGAGCAAGGCACTCAACCCTGGAGAATGACAGCTGGCCCAGCCCAGACGGAGGGCCCTGCAGGGAGGCCACTGGAAACAGACCACGAGGAAAACCCCACTGCGAGGTTTTTGAAGGATTTGGGAAGAACTAGTGATAGTTACACAGAAATCCGGGCGAACAGGAGAACAAAGCAACTCTTAATTACAGGAAATACAACTCTTTATGCATATTAGGGAAACCTAATCAAAATACACTACTTGGCTAAGCGGGCAATGATAATCACTAGTCATAACAATAAAGGCATGGAATCTGATTTAACCAAAAGCTGCAGTATATGTATTGTGAGGACAGAGAGGAAGGGGGAGCATTGAACATAGAAAGTGTAAGAACTAAATCTTTATCTCAATAATAGAAAATTGATAAATTGTAACACTGACAAGTCAAAACATTACCATAAAAGCACATTATTTAGGAATCTGGTCATAAACACCCGGAGAAACCACCGAGAGCGAAGGTGGCTGTCTCGGTGGCACGGCAATGAGGCAGCAGAAGGCGGGACTGCTATGTTTCATCACGACCTTCTTAAATATGATTTATCTTTTAAAAATATATCGGGGGGAGATGAAAATTAAAAACGTAAAAAAGTAAATAGCAAAGAACACGTCTAACCTCTCCTAAAGATATTCACACTCTGCTTTCCCCAGCCCCCAGCCATGGCTGGCAATTCTCTTCTGCCACCTTTGTGTCTTCTTTGGACTCCCATGGGGATTCCACATGGGGTGAGGAAAGCAAACTCATGCTTTACAGACCCCATACTTTCAGAGAATAGGGGAAAACTAACTGGAAAGCAAATAGGTCCTCAAAGTGAGGACCAGGGGCATCAGCATCGCCTGGGAACTTGTTAGAAACGCAAATTCTTGGCCCCCACGCCAGACCTGCTCAATCAGAAACTCTGTTTTAACCAGCCTTCTAGGTGACTGATGCTCCCTCAAATGTGAGCACTGCTGATGGGGAGAAAAAACTGGGTCCTGAGTCAAAGGACCCAGATTCTTCCTGGACCACAACCAGCGAGCTGTGCGACCACAGCCAAGTTCTGCACTTCTGTGTACCGATTTCCTAAGGTGCTAAATGACAGTGTTGGCTTAGATGACGAGTAAGATCTCTCTTAGTTCTAGCCCATGATTTTTACCTTTCCATATATTTGTATAGCTTATTTATAATCATGCCTAAATGCCTAAAATCAGTTTCAATTAATTATATGATTAAATAAGTTAATCTACTCAAATGATTAAAAAAAAAGAAAACAGAAAAAGAGGTTTAGTTGATAAAAGCAAACATTACTTACAGCTTTTTTATCAGGTTGGCTATCATCATAGCCAGTTGTAAGGTCCCTAATGGAAGAAATTTCAAATTTGCCACAAGTTTTTGGATAATTATTTTTTCCATCACAGTTTCTGAGGTTTTCAAATAATTTTTTAATGATGTCTTGATCATGGCAGATAAAATAGGAAGCTTTGGTAATATGGTAGCCATACCTATAAAAGAATGCAAATTTGTATAACATGAGGAACAAAATAATTCCACAGAGTGGACATAGGATGTGTGTATCAACCAGTGTGTTCCAAAAAAATGAAACAAATAATCATAACTAACGTCAAAGGAATAATTCAGCATTAAAAAAGAGGTCCGACAATCTACCCCAGGGATCACAAAATGACACAAAATGCCTTCTGCCTGCGTTTGTAAATTCAAGTTTTATTGGAACACAGCCCCATCATTCCCACACTGGCTTTCTGTATTCTCCGGATGCTTCTGTATTACACAGGCAGACTTGAGTAATTGCTACAAAGACTGAGTAGATATATTATGAATACATTTCATCTTTTTTGACATTGGTCACTTAATGACTAATTCCATTAGTCATTTCTGTGACTAATGTTCTCATTTGTTAAGAATTAATGCAATCACAAATGGTAATCACTAATAAGTGGTTAAGTATCAGAAGGAAAAGGTAATCTCTTACTTAGTCTTTATAAAAAATAGACTTCATCACCAAAGAGCATTAGAAAAAATATTAGTGTCTCATGCACAAGAACATAATAGAACAGTTAAAAGTAAGACTTTAATCAAACCGTCAACAGCAACTTACTCCACATAGATGGCCTTCAGCTGCTGAGACAAAGACAGATTCTTGCTTGCTAGAAAGCTAGCCAGCTCTGCGCTTATGACAGCGGCACTGACCCCGTCTTTGTCCAGAACGAAAGGGCAGCACATGTATCCTGCAGAAACACATGTCACAGGCACACCCTCAGGAGGGGGCTCCTGCACAGTGCCATGTCTAACCACGTGTGTGCATGTCGAGGTCGCACAGTGTTGAGTGTACGCATGTTTCTCGTTTACCACCACACATTAAAGAGTTTAGCCCAGTGCCCAGCACACAGCAGGCTTTCGAGAAGTATTTGCTGAAGAACCTGTGAGGAAGGTTTCCTCTCCTGGCCAAATGGGGCTCATTCACTAGCTTTGTTGCGACTCCCTCCAGCTCACAGGAAGTGGTTCCCAGTTGTTCTAGTCAACATTTATTTCTTCTCTGAATCCCAATATTCTTGTTAGTTACATTATTCATTTTGACACCTGGGCCTCTTACACTCTTGTGTGGTTACTAACTAGATCCATATAAGCTGCTGCAGGCTAAGGTCAGTGTCATCCATTTCTTTCAGAGTCACTGAGTAATAGATACGCAATTAATATTTGATAAACGAATGTTAAGAAAAGTTTTTTATTAAAAAACTAAAAAGCTATAGAGACACAAGTCTGCCAAATCTGACAACAAAAGAGCAAAAGCTGAGCTATTATACTTTATTCAATGAGTTAAATCATGTGTGTATGTTGGTGCTGCAGGGAATGTACAGATGAATATATTAAGAAATAAACTTAATGCAGATTAGTTTTTACTAAAGTAATAGCTAAAAAATTTTTGGCACAAACATGAATGTCAAATTTCTATCACGCGCTCTCCTTTCTGCTCATTTATATCGACAGTTTAAGGTAAGGGGTTATTCAGTCATTCTCACTGGACTTGGTGTCACTGTCACCTGGACAAAGGATTCCTACATTAATGGCTTGATTATTTGTAAGATACTCCTTTTTGCTGAAAAATATCTGAGATACTAATTTTGGAGCAGGACAGTTCAACGCTCAACCTGAGCACTACAAAAGCAAAGTAAATTGTGTGTTCCTGTTTCACTGTGGCTCTTTTAAACCCAAATCCAAACCTTTTCTCATTTACTTACATTCTATATTAACTGATTTTATGATCCTCATTATCGCATCTTACCAATAGCTTCTTCAAATGCAAATAAGACAGTTTTCCCCTGGTCTATTAGCTGTTTGGCTCTGTTTCCCATCCACTTAAAGCCAGTTAATGTTTCCTGAAGGGATAATCCAAAAGAATAAGAAATGCCTTAGATCTTCTACAGAGCGAAAGAAAGGAAAATGAGCACGTCCCACAAATACCTTACCTCAAAATGAAAACCCTCCTTTAAGGCAATGGCCCGCAAGATTTTGGAGGAGACGGTGCTGGACAACATGTATGCGTCTTTGAGGCCATTGCGATCCTGGTTCTTTTCTTTCCAAGAAGTAAAGAGCCACCAACCCAGGAGGGCCCCCAACTCGTTGCCTGAAAACACTCTCCATTCACCCCTGAAAGAAAAAAATACTATTCATTTCCATGATCTTAAGGAAGACACTAGAAGTCACTGGAATAGGACAATTAAGCAAAGAAGTCTTAAAGTATTTTCTGCCAGTCTGTTTTTGTTATTCATCATCTTTAAGTAACTGGTCACTAATGTAACTACCACTCATAAACACTGTGTGGCTACTACATATCACCCAGTTTGCCTAGACACACATCCTGTCCAAAGATTCTAATTTTATAGAATTATACTTATTTTTAAAGAATGTCAGTGATGACACATAATGCTTTTATTTTAATCTTTGGCAAAGGCTTTGGTTTTAAACATAACAGAAATATGCTGGCAAGATTCCCCCCATGTATAAAGTAAGTTTTGACATCTCAACTTTTGGACTGGTCAGTATTGCTGATTCTGAGAGGTGATAGCTTAGCATTCCTTAGGATCCACTTCGGCCCTAAAATTTTCAGAACATCAAAGAACAGATACGTGATTTCTGTTCCTCCGTGGTCCAGGTGACTAGCAGTAAATCTCACATACTGTCACGTATCCCCTGAGCCTAACTTTCTAAACACTGATATAGAATTGAAACTGTTTTGTCATAATCTAAAACCCCATCCCTTCGGCAGTACCCCACGGCCCCCAAAACATCACATAGGCTGTTTGACACCCAAAATTGCTTGAACCCTGCCTACCTTTCAACCTTTTCTCCCACTTACTTTCCTTTGTACGAACTCTATCTGTGGTCAGACGTGTCTTAAACACTGTGCCAATACCCACAGGCATTCCTCTCTGGTCTGTCCAAACTAAATTCATCAATCCTTGAAGGTTCAGCTCCTTACCAAACCCAATGGCAAACACTGAACTGCAAAGCCGGCACCAAAGTACTCTGCCCTCAGTAGGCACTGAGACATCACTTATGATATATTCAATTATAAATTTTTTCTTCCTCTTCTTACCCCTCCCCGACCCCTCTAAATTATAAATTAAGGGAAGATCACAAATATGAACTTCAATTCCAAATACATACTGGGTTATCTACTCTACATTACACTTGCCAATCATGTAACACCCCTACCTTGCCCCGACTAGGTCAGTATCTCACTCTGCATTAGAAGACTCCACAGAAGGTTCAGTGAGATGATCATTTGCAAAATAAATGGGAAATGTTTCCACATAGGTCCAGTGACCTCAGGAACATTTTATTGCTTTATATTTTCTATAATATAGGTAATCACAATTAATTTACCTGTTTTGCTTTTCTGCCACAGCAAGTCTATCAGCATCTGGGTCATTCGCTAAAACAATTTTGGCCTTGGTCTTCTCAGCCAAAGCAAAAGATAAAGTCTGAAAAAGAGTATGAAACTAAAAGATTACTTAAATCAAGAGTCAAGGCCGGGCGCGGTGGCTCACGCCTGTAATCCTAGCACTCTGAGAGGCCGAGGAGGGTGGATCGTTTGAGCTCAGGAGTTCGAGACCAGCCTGAGCAAGAGTCTCTACTAAATAATAGAAAGAAATTAATCGGACAACTAAAAATATATAGAAAAAATCAGCCGGGCCTGGTGGTGCATGCCTGTAGTCCCAGCTACTTGGGAGGCTGAGGCAGAAGGATTGCTTGAGCCCAGGAGTTTGAGGTTGCTGTGAGCTAGGCTGACGCCACAGCACTCTAGCCTGGGCAACACAGTGAGACTCCGTTTCAAAAAAAAAAAAAGAGTCAAGCATATGGTAGTCTTTAAAAACATTCAGTTCTTTAACAATTAAAAGAGTACTTTCCCCAAATGAAGGCTGCATTTTATTTCTGGAGCTGGTCTTGGTTGGGCACACATTACCGTCTTAAGTCAGAGATCAGATAACAGGAGCATCCGTGTGTGGCCCAAGCCTGCCCATGTGATCCGCTGCACGCAGGACAGTGCGTGTGCGACTGGACGGCTGTTTGCGGGCATTGCCACGCGGTCCGCCTCACAAACAAACCAAACGGCTAATGCTCAGAATGTCACTGGTGCTCCAACCTTTAAAATGCTATAGGTCTGTAACAATGTAAACAACACTTCTTCATAGCAGAAAAACGATAATTAAGGAATAAAGTCATAATACGATAAAACTCCATTCTATTACTGTTTTTTTTGGCATTAAGGAAGCACAGTAAATTAAACTAAAATTACATTAAATTAATTAAATTTAAAGTAGCATTGAGATTTCAGCTCTCAGATCCCAATGCTAGGATATCTAATTTGAAAGATCTTTAAGAAATGAATAACTAACAAATACACACATTTCCAGCAATGAAATTAGTTATTCTTCAGCACAATGAAAACACATAAAAACATATTTTACTTGACAGTAATAGCTTTGAATACAAAAGGTAGATTTTAGAATTTTAGAAAAATGTGATTACCAAGACACCTTTACCCTCTTCGGGATTCGGGTATTTCACCGTTGGAAACTCAGGATCAGGATCTTTCTGTTCAGCGACAGCCTCGGGAGGAACAAGGTCAAAAGCCTTGAAAGCCGACTGCACGAAGTCATGACCCACCCCGTGGACAGAGGTGTGCACAAACTTCACCTGGCTCTCCCTGTTCACGCTCCTAGAATCAGACACACCACGGAAAACGATAAAAGACAGAAATATGCCTCTCGCACCCGGAAGGTTTGCAAAACGTCAAGGAGCCAGAGTCATAAGAATGTAAGAAACTGATGTAGTAAGAATATGCAACTGAGTATCTTTCCAATCCCATTAAAAAAACCCACTCTCTCTCAAATATACATAACCCCCCGACATCCTCAAGTGTTAAATTTTACTCTGTAGTTATTTTCAGCAAATGTGATTATTTACGGATTCTCTTTTATGGAATAGCTGTCACATGCAGGGTAGGACACAGCAGAGAGCCTCCGGCTCCGGTCCCAGCACGAGGCTCACGGCTGGCCTGTGAGGCGCTGAGTGCGCCAGCGCCAGGGCTGCATGTGTTCTGTATGAGCTTCAGAAATGACTTTCAAAATGTCCCTTTTAACAAAACGTGATGGGTTATCCCATACAGGAACATATAAAAAGTAAAACTTCCCTTTGCCAAGTAACAATCCAGTTTGGCAAAGTACCATGATCTAGGGACTTAATGTAGAATAACAATAAACATCAAAATTGAAAGAAGTTATAGAAAAGTAAACATAAGATTTTTAAAACTTCCAAAGCTCTGACTGCTAGAATCTTAGGTTATTATCCATTTCTTTTGGAAATCAATAAACAAACAGGTCTTCTCTAAGAGAACAGTGGTTTAAAACAAACGTACTTTTGAAAATAAAATGCATCTAGTAAAATAAATATGCAAGATCAGGGAGGACGAATCTAAAAAAAATCTCTCAGATATTAAAATATATTATAAAACTATAATAATTAAAACAGTTTGCTACTAGATATAAAAAGGCAGACAAAAGGAACAGAATAGAGAGTTCAGAAGTCGATCCAATTTGAAATGGGAAATGCATATTTGAAGCAGTAAAGCTTGGTGGCTAACATGCTCTAGAATCAGACCCAAATTTAAATCGCGGGAACTCTGTCACTTATGAGCGGTGTGACTGATGCCTATTTGCTTACTCACACTTTGCTGCAGTTTTCTCATCTACAAAACAGTAATGCGCCAGAACTCACCCTCAGCATTATCGTGAGGATTAAAATGAAAGTGCATGTGAAGGGCCTCTAGCAATTATCTTATATATAACAAGCACTTGATTAATGTTAGAAACTGCTTCATAAAGGTATCATATCCAATTAGCCAAAAAAAGAGACAGATTCTTCAATTTATCGTATTGGTACAACCGCAAACCTTTTAGAAAAAAACCAAATCTGCTTTCCTACTTTGCACCCCATACAAAATTAAAAATTACCAATGACTCAAAAGATTGACATATCACAAAATGTAAACATGAAATTTTTAGAAAAAACATGGGGAATTTAAAAAAAAATAACTTTTGTCTAGAGAAAGTCTTCCTAAGTATGACATAAAACCCAGAATCCATAATTAAAAGATTAATAAATGTTATCAAACTTTTAAAAACAGTTCAGCAAAGTTTCAATAAAAAATTCCAAAGGTGGCTGGGCATGGTGGCTCATGTTTGTAATCCTAGCACTCTGGGAGGCAGAGGCAGGAGAACTGCTTGAGGTCAGGAGTTAGAGACCAGACTGAGTAAGAGCGATACCCCATCTCTACTAAAAATAGAAAAATTAGCTGGGCATGGTGGCACACGCCTGTAGTCCCAGCTACTGGGGAGGCTGAGGCAGGAGGATCGCTTGTGCCCAGGAGATGGACGTTGCAATGAGCTATGGTGCCACTGCACTCCAGCCTAGGCGACAGAGCCAGCTACTGCTTTTCTGTTTATACTCCTTCAGTGACGTATCATCTACAGGTGCTTTAGTACTACAACAGCAGGGGTGAACAGTTGAGAAAGATTTCATATGGTCCTTGACACCAAAAATATTTACTGTGTGCCCCTTTAAGAAAAGTTTGCCAACTCCCAGTCTACAGCCTCTAAAACAAGATGCACTATATGCACCAATTAAAGAGAAAAATTTCATGAAAATTGATAGAATTTGGCTGCATCACATTAACTTAACTCAAGGTCAGTGAGGACACAATGCATTTACCTGTGGAAACAGTATTTTGTAAGGTCTTCAAAGTAGTCTTTGCTGACAGAAGCACTCGGGTTGTGAAGAAGCGGACTGCCGTCAATGAAAGAATCGTCCCAAGCTTGAGGCCACGGCTCTAGATTTTCTTCAATAGCTTGAGAAATCCCTTTATCGTGAGGAGAGATGATCTGAGCTCCATTATCCCAATAGACCTAGAGACCCCAGGAACACATTCGAAAAGTTTAGAGCTAATGAAAATACAGCATCCATACCTACGCCCCCAACAGTAAAGGTACAGCATTCCTACAGAAGGACATGAATGTGGAGAGAAAAATAAAATACCTTATAGCCATTATCCTGCTTTGGATTGTGCGAGGCAGTTATCATGATTCCAGCACAAAGTTTCAAATGTGATACTGCATAGGGCTGTAACATAGCAGGAAATAAAAACAAACAGTTTTTAACAAAAAATTAGATATGTTTACAATGTCTATTGTATACTGTTTGTGTCAACTTGTTCCCTTTCAATAAACATGGTATATAAATATCATGTCTCGTCCAGTATTTTTGTGCCACATCCAAGCAGCATACTCTCACTACCCGTGGAACTAACTGGCTGCTCGCATTTCCAGAACGTGTGTCCTAACAAGAAAGGGGAGTAATTTCCTAGGCGTCGTCTTCTCATTCTGTCTCCTACCTGCTAGAGCTATAAGACGGTCAAACAAAAAAATGGTCTAAACTTCTATTCCACATTTTTTTTTTTTGGTAGACAGGGACTCGCTCTTCACCAAGGCTGCAGCGTAGTGGCCCGATTATAGCTCACTGCAGCTTCGAACTCCTGGGCTCAAGCGATCCTCCTGTCTCGGCCTCCCAAAGTGCTGAGATTACAGGTGTCAACCACCATGTCCAGCCTCTGCGTTCTTTTTAGGTTTCTGTTTGGTATAGGAGTTTATAAATTCCGTTTATTCCCTCCAACTGCTTCGCCTTCTCCTCTTTCTCATTTGCTTTTAAGGAAAAGGTTGAGAAGAAGGTAGAGAAAACAGAGTGCTCTTATGGGTTGTGCATTTATCTCTCACTCCAGGGTTAAATATCCCTCCCTTACATTGTGACTTAGCTCCCATCTTTACAAGAGACTGCCCACAATGGGGGGAGGGGCTGGAATTCCCCCTGAGGCTGCAAATGAGATTTACTGCACACAAGCAGCCTGAGATTCGAACCACCGGTCCTCCCCAAGCTGCCCACCAAAAATCACTGCAGTTTCCTGTCCTCTTGAAAGTTCCGTTACATCTCTCAGGTAACCTGGGGCAAAGAAAGGGGAGAACCACTCCTCGGTGTGGGGAAATGATCATGAGACACTCATTTAATTCATGTCTGTTATAAAAACAATAGCTATTAATACTTGGTACAGAAGACAATCAGGATGCTTGAACACACTGCAATTTTTCCATCAAACTATGAAACTTGGCCAGGCATGGTGGCTCACCTCTGTAATCTCAGCACTTTGGGAGGTTGAGGCAGGAGGACTGCTTGAGGTCAGGAGTTCAAGACCAGCCTGGGCAACACAGTGAAACCGTCTCTACTAAAAAAGTAAAAATAGCCAGGTGCAGTGGCGCACACCTGTACTCCCAGCTCCTTGGAGGGCTGAGACAGAAGGATCCCTCGAGCCCAGTTCGAAGTTACAGTGAGGTGTAATTGCGCCACTGCATTCCAGCCTGGCTGACAGAGAGACACCCTGTCTCTAAAAAAAAACAAAAAACCAAGGAAACTTGAACTACATTTGGGTGTGACACAGAGTGTGTCCCGGGCTATTTACAATCTGGGCGGTGTTGCGTCTCCCTGCCGGCGCGCTAGAAATGGCAAACACAAAACAAGTGGGACTGACTTCAGTATCTGTGCGCTCCCGTGTCTACTTGACTGCAAGTCACTGCATCCAAATCGTTTCCTAGAAACATGTATTCTCAGCATCTGGCCCAGCTCTTAAATGGTCTGACTACATCAAAGCAACAGCTTTTCTTTAGATTCTGCTACATGAAGAGTTTGATAAAATATCTTACTCACACATGCCAAGCATGCTCTCTAGAGGTGTGAACATGAATAGCATTTAGCGTGAAACATTTGTATAAAAGGCAGGTGCATCAATTCGTCAAAAATATTCATGATAAGACAGGATTTGAGGTGAATTCAGATTTAGACACAAGAAGTTTCCTAATTGTGATAGCTGGAAAAAAGAACTACGCATCAAATTAAAAAACAAACAGACAAAACATCATTTTGCTAACTTGCTAAAATACCTTAGAATGCAAGCAAAAGGAAAATTGCACATTTAAAAAACCAATTCTGATGAATCAAAACTTGAATACCAGAGAGAAATTACTAGGATGTGGGGGAAGCATTCCTGGCGAGAGAAGAGAATGCCTGATAAATGCTGAGTTCTGTCATTCAAATAGTCCGAACCAACGGCCCTCCAGACTGTAAAATTCAGCCAAGTCTCATCCCTGACCCCGTGACAGGAAATTATAAAAGGAAGCAGTTACTTACCACAAAGGGGGTTGGGGTTATGTCGTTAAAGAGGTGTACGGGAATCCCCCGACTGATAAATGTGGTTGCAGCAAGTCGGGCAAACCTGGGGACGCAGAGTGACAGGGAAGAAAAAGAGAGTCAAGTTGTCAAGACCTCAGGTGACAGGAAGAAGGAAATGAATGCCTGACACTTCCCTAGGGAGAACACAACAGCCAGATCAAGGACAGCATTTATTCCAAATCTTTACATTGGCACAGGACATTAAAGCTGGAGAACCCTTAGAAGTCATCTCATTCCACCTCTGTTTCGCAGAAACGGGACTAAAGCCAAGAAATCCAGGCACCTTGCCCATGTCCGACAGCCAGTAAGCAGGGGGCCAGGTCGCTCCCAATCTCTCAGCTCACCCGCCGTCCAGCTCAGTGGTTCCCAGCTGTGGTCATTCTGCCCCCTATCCCCTGAAGTGTCTGGAGACGTTTTTGGTTGTCATGCTGGGGAAAGGGGGAAGGTGCTATTCGCAGCTAGTGGGTAGGGTCAGGGGTGCTGCTAAACGCCCCACCCTACAATGCACAGGGCAGTTGCCCACAACAAAGAATTATCTAGCCAGTGTGAAGTCATGTCAATAGTGCAGAGGCTGACAAACCCTAGCCCAAACCTACCACAATCCAGTATAAACTATGCAGACCAGAATTGGACTAGAGATGGTTTTACTTGAAAGACATATTGGTTTGCATGTGTGTACACACACACACACACACGCACACGCACACGCACACACATGCGCACACACGTCTTGGTTCCAACTAGCCTTTAAAAGAAAACTTGAGGCCAGGCGCGGTGGCTCACGCCTGTAACCCTAGCACTCTGGGAGGCCGAGGTGGGCGGATTGTTTGAGCTCAGGAGTTCGAGACCAGCCTGAGCAAGAACGAGACCCTGTCTCTACTAAAAATAGAAAGAAATTAAT